CGGATCCTGAATAATTTGAAAATTTTAAAAACTTTTGTATAATATATACACACATATGTAATTAATTTATAAAAATAAATATTTAAAAAACATTCTTCTATTTTAATATTAACCTACTCCAAAATGACGCGTAGCATTTACTAGTCTATCGCTATCCTTTTCGTTTTCACCGACAAATAGCATGCGCGCTCTCTTTCATTCAACCAACAAACTATAGACAGCTGCAATGCTGTGTCCTCTTCTATCGCATGGGATGGTTTGCTGGGACCTCGCTGTCGCACGTATTCACTCGCAGCAATATTTCACTTTTTAAAATTCAACAACCGCAATTCAGGACTGATTTTTTGCAGACAACCCTATACCACCGTGTTCGTAATAAAATTATCTTTATTTTTATTTTAGTTTCATTCAATAATCAGACCGGTGCAAGTTACTGTTATCGATTTACCTGTTTATACCTGCCTACCTAAGAGTTGTGACGGGAAATAAATAGTCAACCTAATGTTTGTATATTCTATAGGTTTCATATTTTCGATTGGAATGGAATTTGTTCATTAACCAAGCCAGTGTAATTTAAACAAAAAAATTTTTTTTTAATTGTTAATTAATCATATTCTGGACTGAAATTTTTTAGACAACCCATTCGCAATATATTTATTGACTTATTTTATTTGATAAAGAATATCTTTCATCCATTAACCAGCTCGGTGAAGGTCGTTGTATAGCGGGATCTTAGACTAGAAGCATTGTTGCGTCGAGCTGCAGATGTTGTAATAAAAGAAGGCAAAAAAATTAAAATAGTGGCACGTGATCTTGAAATCTGTCATATGACCTTATACAGATTTGTGACAAAATTGAAAGCTCGTAAGGTTGCAGCCGATTAGTTTTTACCCCGGAACAGGAAAAACAGATAACAAACTATATTTTAAAATGTTCCTCAATATACTTCGGTCTTCTACCCGGGTTAGGATCGAAAACTCGCATACGAATGTGCAATTAAGTATTCCTTGGGAAACATTCCCCCATCATGGCACAAAAATAGACAAACCGGTGCGGACTAGTTCACTGGGTTTTTGAAGCGGAATCCAGTATTATCAATACAAACTCCAGAAGAAACAAGTGCAGGACGTACATCTGCTTTTAATAGGCACAATGTTAATCAGTTTTTCACTAAGCTGGATGATATTATGATTATGAAGTGATGATTAATACCTAAGATAATTTGTTACTTAAGTAAGACTGATTTAAATTTGAAAGACCATCGGAAATACAAACATTGGATGCACTCGTCTGTCCTCATTCTGTAAACGTTCGACTCGCGTTACAGTTCATCTATAGAATTAAATGACCTATATTATCTGCATCATCCCCAAAACCTGAGATTACTACCCAAATTTCTTGGTGGAGTTGATAGTAAATGCTCACCTGACCGAGCACTGGCAAGAACATCGTAATCTGACGGGCGTAGAGATAACCCTGGAGAATGTCACGGGTGTTTCCCAAATCTACTTCTTCAGCCTGTGGTTCAAAATTCCCGCGGAAGTCAACGAGCATCCCTCCTCACTGTTTTATACCATCCTGTATGTTCCGGCGATATCGTGATTTGTGTGTGTGAATGCGTCCAATGTAAACAGAGTTATGGTTAAGCAGTTTTCGACTGATTTCGAAAACTTTCAGTGAAATAATAAATTTATTTAATTGGAGAATGGAATTTTCTGCTCAATAACCCTCGATCTTTTTGTGCGTATCCTTCAAAAAGTACAGAAAGGATTGAGGTTTTATTGAGCGTTCTTTCATTTATCTGCGAAGGTTTTTGACTTCGTCACCCATATAACTGACTCTTGGCCATTTTTCCTGGTAACAAAATTATCTCACTCGAGAGAACTTGAGGAATTATTTTTTAAAATATCATTTAACCCATTAGAGCCAGAGGATCTTAAAGTGTGTACGTGAGCAGATAGTGGGGAGCGCGCGAATCACAGCGCGCCGTGTGCTTGTGTGAGTGAAACGCGAGAGTAGTAGAGAATGCGTGCGCCCTTCTCTACCGTATTTTCTGCCTTTTCTCTATGTAATAGAGTACAGTTCTCTCACTTCAAAAGAAAGATGCACGATTCGACGATTCGAGCTTAGAGTAGGATTTCAAGGCCAGCCTCTAAAGGGTTAAAGGAAAAAAATAAATAAAAATCTTCAGACAGAATAAAGTATCTGTTACGCAGATGGGATAGATGAATTGTTTAGCACTTTTGGAACCATTAAAAATGTATAAATAGATGTAATTTATGGAGTTAGTCAGCGGCATTTTATTTAACAACCCTCGCTAATTAACCCCATTGTCGTTACGAAGCCGCAACAGGGAATAGAGAACATGAAAAAATTAATATCCAGACAGAGCAATAAATTTTTAATTTACAAATTTTATCGTCCTGTAAAATTACTTGTTTAAAGTCGTCAAATTATTAGTAATTATTTTTACAACTTGTGGCCTTTGAACAATTAGCTGGGCCACAATATTTAGGTTTGTCTTGCGAGTTATATCCTAATTATGGACTAGGATAAAAGAGCCTGCTTAGAGACCCAAGAGTTAGTTATCCTCAGGATCTAGCGTGAAGTGGTTGACCATCGACTATCCCGATTTGAAAGTGAAAATGAAGTTGAACAAACTCATATTGGCATGTTTAGTCTTAGTGCTGATAGCGGTGATCAGTGAAGCTGGAAATATAATGAAAAAACATTCTCATCCATCGAGGTAAGTACCTTCGAAGTGTCGCGTGTTTTCAATCAGGTCTTTTAGGGCTTTGACGGAATTTTGTTTGTCGGTATGCCTTCAATTCATAGGCCGATAACCAGTCAGAGGAGAGCATCCGTTGGTCGATCGAACCCAGTTGAGCAGAGATTAGTTAGAACCAACGCCGGTCATGGGCGAAAACCTGCTGGAGCTCCTATACGATCTGAATCTCCGGCTCGAAGATCGTCCGGGTCGAGACCTAATTGTCGTGGGGTCCGGGTCGGTGCTCAACCGTTTCGATTCCAGCGATGGAGGATCCCGAAGATTGTAATCACGCCCCCGAATGATGAGAGGTAAATATTTTAGGAATTTAACTGAATGATTTTTTTAAATCTCGCTATTTTCTGACTCGAGCTTGAGGTTATTGCCTGCGAATTTCATTTACAGGCCGAGAACTGTTTCAAAAACCAATCAGAGGACCCTCTGGTGAAGATAACTTAATAAATATATTTTATTGGAAAATGAAATTTTCTGCTCATTAGCCCTCGCTCTTTTTTTGCGCATCCTCCAAAAAATACAAAAAGGGTTGAGGCTTTATTGAGCACTCTTTCATTTATCTACAAAGGTTTCAAACTTCGTGACCCATACAACTAACCCTTGGCCATTTTTCCTGGTAACAAATAATCGCACTCGAGAGTACCCTGCCTGTTTGGTAGCCGGACATCACAAGAATTCTGCAGAGTTTGTAAATTTCGAGTTTGAGTAATTTGAGCAATGCTTAAAGCGATAAAAATAAACCAATGCTCATCATGGTCGTCGAAAATACAGATTTGGAATATACGGGATTTAGTTATTTGGCTTTAATCTAATAGACCTGCTGAAAACAGCATTTTTCAAGTTTCTCGACACGTAGCTTATCCACTGTTGTTGACCTCAGGACGTCATATTCACTTACACTTACAATTTTAAGCATTTCTAGCGACCATTGTGACCGGTCCAATTCTTCAATATCGTTTTGGCCAAGATTCGGATTCAAAACTGTTTCGACAATCGGGGGTGACAATTATCTTGTTCAGGAGACCCTGGTCTAAGCTTAGTTAAATGGGTAAATAGATTGATTGATTTATCACAAGGTAGACGGAGTTTCCGACCCGAACTACAAAGCTTATTTATAACAACAAGAGGTGTGGTAAAAGCAGTCTCAAGGACTGTAATTGCAGGATGGCTCAAAGGCCCCTACGAGACCTGGGAATTAATTGTAGCCCGGGTTCAATTAGGTCTTTTAATTTTGAAAATAATGTGCCTTTAGATTTTAGAAAGAGGGAATTGGAGAGGGGCGAATAATTTTTTCAAACACTATTATAAGTCAGTAGATCGTCCCAGGAATGGAAATGAGAATGTTATTGATTGATTTTCTGCTATTTAGCAGTTTGTTGTAAATTATCATATTAATCTTGAGATAGATAGACAATTGACAGGTGTCAATGTGATTTTTTATGATCTCATTAACTTGTGCAAAGCATACTTACTCGTATATGATTGATTATCTCATAATATCATAACTTACATAATATATACTTAGATATATGAATTAAGCTTTATATATTATAGATTATCGAGGTATTAAGTTCCTTAATTACTTAAATTTTTAATACCTGACTAATTTATGTTATATTTCAGTAAAGGGTTTCCTTTACTATGTTTTAATCGGCATGTCCGCTGGTTTTAATTACTTTCCATATTTTAATAAAGTATTTTGTAGGATATTAAACGAGGTAATCCCACATAAAATTCGGGAGTCGAACCCGATAAGAATGTTCAATTTAAACAACACAGTTCACGAGAAGGAAAAGAAGCACAAGCACTAAGAATGAAGGATATATTATTTACACACAGAATAGAATTAAATTACAAGAAAAGAATTATATAAAATAGCGAAATTAAGCAAATTGAGGGGTCTAGATTCAAAAGCGCCTCTGTCCAAATTTTATGCTTTATGATATTTATATCTGGTAACATTCCTGACTTATCATTTTTGTGTTGTATTTAAGCAAACGTATTCAAAGTCGCCTCTATCACATACAAAATGAAATTTGAAATTATCGTTTAGGTGCAGAACCTCCTCTATTCAATACCTCAGGTGCAAAAGCTCCTCTGTCTGAAGTCAACCAATCACAGCTCGTCATTTTATTAGGAATGTAATGGCGTCTTGAGTATTGTTTTGTAAACAGTGTGCCGTTATTTTATCAAATATTAATTGAAAAAAAAGTGAAAAATGGAAATAAATATTGTTCCTGTAGAAGGTAATACAGCAAGGAAAAAGATCCGCAATAAATCACAATGGAAACGCAATGTAAAACGGCGTGAAAGGTATGTATCTAATGCCTTGTATTTTGCCTAGTGTGAGTGTCATTATGCAGAAAATTACCACGCTATTTTATTATTTTCGTCGGTAGACGTAGCAGAAGTACATACAGCAGCAGGTCAGACGTAACATGTTGACCTTGAGCGCGCCTCTATGCCCTACGTAATTAGAGGTATTTTTGTATTGCAACTGTTACACCTTACTTGCTGCTGTGCGTACCTATTATCACATTTTACATGAAAAGGTGCACTTTCGTATTTAAATTACTAAAATTTAATTTCAGATATTCATCAAAAAACCGCCCAATATAAATGATATTAGAGCGTGCAAGCATAACAGCGGCAAATTAAAGTGTAGTTCTTTGAATCCACAAGACATCAGAAAATTTCACCAAACCTTTTATTCAAAGCCTTGTAAAATTTACCAAGATAATTTTATATTAAAATACATTAAAGTTCATACACCAGTGCGGCGACGACGTAAAGTGGGACAACGCGCTACCTCAAAATCATACACAAAGTTTTATATTAGAACTTACGTGAAACCTTACAAACTCATACAGGTTTGCCAAAAGACTTTTGCACGTATTTTAGGTGTCGGCGTGCATTGACTTCGAAATATTTCAAAAAAATTTTTGCTAAATGGGGACTTTCCTCGCGAAAATCGAGGTGGCGACAGGATTTCGACCAAAAATGCACATAAAAAAGAAAATGTAATCAAATTTATACAATCATTTAAATGCATCGAATCACACTATTGTAGATCTGCAACTGCAACAAGGAAATATGTTCCATCTGATTTAAATATTAAAAAGATGTGGAAAATGTATCAAACAAATCAACAAGATGAATCTCTTAAGGTAAAAGAATGTTATTTTAGAAATATATTTGTAAAACATTACAATATTGGTTTTAAGACTCCAGGCACAGACGTGTGCTCCAAATGTTTAGAGCTAACGGAAAAACTGAAAGCTGAAAAGAATGATGCTGCAAATGTTCAGCTCATGACAACGTTACGTATACATAAATTAAAAGCTAAAATGTTTTATACATATTTACGCGAACATGATAAAAATACATTCACTATCTCTTTTGACTGCCAAAAAAATCAAGTTCTGCCAAAAGTGGCAGACCAAGCTGCCTATTATAGCAGGCAGTTATACATCTATAATTTTACCGTTGTTATTGGAACATCAACAAATAAGTTTCCAAAAGAAAAAGTAAGAATATATACATGGACCGAAAATGTTTATGGAAAATCATCTAATGAGATAGCATCGGCAGTTTTTCACTTATTATCAAATACTAATTTGGAAGGGAAAAATAAAATTCGGATTATGGCAGATGGATGTGGATCCCAAAACAAAAATAGTACAATGATAGCAATGTGTGCATTTTGGCTGACCACCTCTGCCCCAAAAGAAATCAAAATAGTTGAGTTGATTTTTCCTGTTCCCGGCCATTCTTTTATGCCTGCAGACCGAATTTTTGGGCTAATAGAAAAAGAAATTAAAAATAAGGAGCAAATCATTCACCCAACAGAGTATCATGAAATTTATTCTAAATATGGGATAATTAATCATCTCAGTAGAGACGTTCCAGTAAAAGATTGGAAAAGTTTTGCTAATGACACAATGAAACCACCAGGTCAGTATCACTTTCGGTTTGCAGAATGCAAACGATACTATTTATCACGAGTTAAAAATAAGCCAGGTCTTTCTTGTTGCGTGGTGAAGTAAATTATAAAACAGATCTTGGGGTGGCAAAAAGCATAATAAAACGTGATGTGTCCAGTATATCTGATTATGATGTTCGAGATATACCACCTTTTCAGGTGAATATGAGTACATTGAAGATAACTGACGTTGAAAAGTTGTTAACAAAACACTTTGGTGGCAACTGGCAGTCCAATGAACAGCTTTCATTTAATAAAAATATACTAGAAACAAATTCCGATGGTGGTGTTAATGTTGAGCAAAGCGATGAACCATGTGAGCATCTAGAAGAAGTAGGTCTTAGTATTTAAAGCGGATTAAGTTTTTTGTATGGAGGGTAACCCTAACGATCTTTCGCCATTTTGATTTTTTTTCATAATCATGGCACACAGCGAAAGTTATATATTCCGATAGAGGACAGAATATACAAACAAAAAAAAATATTTATAACATATATCCTAGCGTCAGATTTTAGAGTTATTGACCAAAATATAGTCAAGTCGAAAAGTGAAAATTGTTATTTTAATCTTTGAATATCTCAGGAACGCTTTACGATATTATGTTCATATCATTTTTTGTTTGTATAAGTGTCCTCTATCTAAATATATAACTTTCATCATGTGAAAAAAGAAATCGAAATAGTATTAATTACAATTAATACTAAAACTAATCTGATTGATTACTGTACTAATAATAAAGTGAACCTTTTGTGTTTTTGCTGTTCTTTTAATGTATTTATGTTTACTAAGTACCTACCTACCTACTTACTCATTTTTGCATAGTGCTGATCAAGTTAATTAATTAACAGCAATACCTCCTCTATCCTGGACAATTAAATACAAAAGCGCCTATATCCATTGATGAATTCCAAAACCGCCTCTATCATATTTTCAAATCTCAATAACTAATAGTACGTTCTATGTATCGCTTTATGCTGCAGTAATATTTACTTTAAAACAAACACAGTTCTTAGATGGCAAATTTTTATTGTAATATTTTTATCTTTAGTAGACAGTATTCAGTTTTGGTCTTTATCTCGAAATTGAAAAAAGTGGACAGAGGCACTTTTGAACCTATACCCCTCTTGTTAATTATTAGCAATGTGACGGTCGTACGCAAGCAAAGCTATATGCAGAGTTATTTTTGTTCGGCCGACGGCGCGACGACGCGAGCAGGCACGCATCATCACGAAGCGAGCGCGTGCGACAAGGATGCGCATACGCCCGGCGAGCTACGTAATGCGTTACGTCAGTCATCGCCGCTGGCCCAAAGCGCATAAGCGGAGCGTTTCTTCGTCGAAATGTAGGGCGGTTGCCCAAGTATAAAATTGGAGCGGATAGCTCGCCACAATTTCTTACGCTATTGTTGATGCGGAATGGTCCGTGTGTTTGTCCTTCTATGTTATTAAATTAAATAGTCTGACAATAATCAGCCTTTGGTTTTAATTAGATATTCATCCTTAAAACTATCACAATACCCTTGTTATAAAGTAGTACTAGGCGCCGGCAGAAGATAGACAGGTCACCGAAGGTCAAGCCGAAGGCACAGAACTGAAATATGACCGTTTTCCACCCCGGAGCGAGGAAAACGATTATTACAGGTCTTGCCGAGGCTTGACCGAAGGCCTAGCCGGCTCTTCCGAGCAAGTTACTGACGGAAGCCAGCCGACGCCACGCGCGCGGGGTGAGCGCGTCCCCTCATCCCGCGCCCGCTCGCAGAACACGACACAAGACATAAGAGGCGTCTGTAGCCACGACGCAGAGCATGGAACAAAACGGGACTGAAAATGGCGAAAAGTTTGTTGAAGTGACTGATTACGAAGGGAATGCTTTCCAGTACATGTGCCGCGAAGGGAATATTAGAGAGCTGCTAGAGTCTGTGCAAACCATGCGATACACGGACGTATTGTACCAGTACGACGTCTGTGGCAGACAAGCCACTCATGCAGTGGCTGAGTGGGACTAGGAGAACGCCAAGTGTAAAATCGAGATACTTTCGCTAATGGGGGTCGATATGAACGCAAGAGAGCTGTTAAGGGGCAATACGTTGCTTCACATTGTGGTGAATACTAGAAACTACTCGCTAGCCGAATGAATTTGCCAGAAGCCGGGTGCTAATCTGGGAGCTATCAACTTTGAGCAGGATACTGCCTACCACGTGGATTACAAAGCTAAGATTTCAGGACGAGGGAGTAAAGGGATTACGGCGCGGTGTGTGACGATCCTCGCACGGAACCTGACGATGCTGAGGAAATTCTTGACTTGGCCTTAAGGAAAACACTTGTTATTTCTGACGTGATAGGAGGGAATGGAGTGTTTGTTTATCCTCTGATAATTACTCAGTATTTTTCACTAATTGACATTATGGCTTGTGACCTTTAGTATGAAGTTGTTATCTAATGCTCATGTATATTTAGCGAATACTTTCTACAAACCGAGTCATTTCTATTGAAGTTGTTAAAGTGCAGTCTCGCGAGTAAAATGCTTGAACCAAACATTGTATTTACCGGAACTAAGAATGAAGAAGGGGAAAATCTACTGCATTGCCTTTGCCGCACCGTAAGTGTTGATGGATAATGTGATCAACGAGAACAGGCACTGTATAACCGAGTACAATAACAAAAAGCAGCAATGTGTGCACGTCGTCGCTTCCGAACACAATGACACCGTGGAAAAGATGAAACTCCTAAAAAGAGAACTTAAGGAATTATTTTTTTTAAATATCATTTAACCCTTTAGAGCCAGAGGATCTTAAAGTGTGTACGTGAGCGGATATTGGGGAGCGCGCGAATCACAGCGCGCCGTGTGCTTGTGTGTGTGAAATGCGAGAGTAGTAGAGAATGCGTGCGCCCTTCTCTACCGTATTTTCTGCCCTTTCTCTATGTAAAGGAGTACAGTTCTCTCACTTCAAAAGGAAGATGCACGATTCGACGATTCGAGCTAAGAGTAGGATTTCAAGGCCAGCCTCTAAAGGGTTAAAGGAAAAAAATAAATAAAAATCTTCAGTCAGAATAAAGTTTCTGTTACGCAGATGGGATAGATGAATTGTTAAGCACTTTTGGAACCATTAAAAATGTATATAAAAGATGTAATTTATGGAGTTAGTTAGCGGCATTTTATTTAATAACCCTCGCTAATTAACCCAATTGTCGTTACGAAGCCGCAAGGAATAAAGAACATGAAAAAATAATATCCAGCCAGAGCAATAAATTTTTAATTTACAAATTTTATCGTCCTGTAAAATTACTTGTTTAAAGTCGTCAAATTATAAGAAATTATTTTTACAACTTGTGGCCTTTGAACAATTAGCTGGGCCACAATATTTGGGTTTGTCTTGCGAGTCATATCCTAATTATGGACTAGGATATAAGAGCCTGCTTAGAGACCCAAGAGTTAGTTATCCTCAGGATCTGGCGTGAAGTGGTTGACCATCGACTATCCCGATTTGAAAGTGAAAATGAAGTTGAACAAACTCATATTGGCATGTTTAGTCTTAGTGCTGATAGCGGAGATTAGTGAAGCTGGAAATATAATGAAAAAACATTCTCATCCATCGAGGTAAGTACCATCGAAGTGTCGCGTGTTTTCAATCAGGTCTTTTAGGGCTTTGACGGAATTTTGATTGTCGGTATGCCTTCAATTCACAGGCCGATAACCAGTCAGAGGAGAGCATCCGTTGGTCGATCGAACCCAGTTGAGCAGAGATTAGTTAGAACCAACGCCGGTCATGGGCGAAAACCTGCCGGACCTCCTTTACGATCTGAATCTCCGACTCGAAGATGGTCCGGGTCGAGACCTCATAGCCCAGGTGCTCAACCGTCTCGATTCCAGCGGTGGAGGATCCCGAAGATTGTAATCACGCCCCCGAATGATGAGAGGTAAATATTTTAGGAATTTAACTGGATGACTTTTTTAAATCTCGCTATTTTCTGACTCGAGCTTGAGGTTATTGACTGCGAATTTCATTTACAGGCCGAGAACTGTTTCAAAAACCAATCAGAAGACCCTCTGGTGAAGATAACTTAATAAATATATTTTATTGGAAAATGAAATTTTCTGCTCATTAACCCTCGCTCTTTTTTTGCGCATCCTCCAAAAAGTACAAAAAGGGTTGAGGATTTATTGAGCACTCTTTCATTTATCTGCAAAGGTTTCAAACTTCGTGACCCGTACAACTAACCCTTGGCCATTTTTCCTGGTAACAAATAATCGCACTCGAGAGTACCCTGCCTGTTTGGTAGCCGGACATCACAAGAATTCTGCAGAGTTTGTAAATTTCGAGTTTGAGTAATTTGAGCAATGCTTAAAGCGATAAAAATAAACCAATGCTCATCATGGTCGTCGATAATACAGATTTGGAATATACGGGATTTAGTTATTTGGCTTTAATCTAATAGACCTGCTGAAAACAGCATTTTTCAAGTTTCTCGACACGTAGCTTATCCACTATTGTTGACATCAGGACGTCATATTCACTTACACTTACACTTTTAAGCATTTCTAGCGACCATTGTGATCGGTCCAATTCTTCAATATCGTTTTGGCCAAGATTCGGATTCAAAACTGTTTCGACAATCGGGGTGACAATTATCTTGTTCAGGAGACCCTGGTCTAAGCTTAGTTAAATGGGTAAATAGATTGATTGATTTATCTGGTCAGAGGTGCAAAACCTTCGGTGTTAGATCTTTCCGCTATATTTTTACATAGTATTACATATTAAAATAATATCTTGAGAACAATGCAGCTGTTTTTGTTTTGCGTTATTCTTTGTTTTCTATACAAGTTTTAATCTATACTAAACTGTGCCTACTGCTCTGCTCACGTAGGCTCGGTGTAGATGGCTAATAAGATTTTTTCTTGTTTAAGATTGGGAATGATATGGAGAACTATACTAAATATAAGTTGGTCGGGGAAGCATTAAACAAGCACAGGCTAAAGTTCCACACAAATTCAAATATCAACAGGAAAAGGAAGATAAACCCTAAGAGATCTGCAGTGCAAAAACGTTATCATATAGAATATTTAGAGAAACTATTAAATAAAGATGAAACTTTGGCGTTACAAAAACCTGAAGAGATATTTGTTGCTAGCTGTAAAGACGAAATGGTAATAGAAGTTCCATTAAGTTTTGGAAATAATTATAAGTGTTTAGAAATATAAAAAAAGTAAGGGACTGCAAGTAAACCTAAAAGCTATGGGTGTCCATAAATCAACCATGACTGTTAACAAATATTAAAAAAAGAGGAAAATAATATTTTCACCAGACGCAGTATCTTTTAGTAGTATGAACGACATATTTTCTATTTCTCTTCACATGAAATGTAAATAATATGCAAAAGGCTGCCCTTTGATCCTTATTTAGAGAACCACAACTGTTGTTAGGTTTACCTAAAGAATGCTATTTTTGTATTAATATGTTATCTGAAACAAGATAACGTATTCCGCGAAATATAATATCTTTTGAAAAAATACGCTTGTATCAACGTAATACTATTATGGCTTTGGATTTTGGTTTGTCGACTAGTTCTGTTACTAAAATCATAAGGGTTACTGTTCCGGCTTTAGTATCTGTACTTAAATCACTTGTATACTTTCCAACTTCATTCGATGTCCACATGAATTTACCTATTCCATTTAGAAAAAAATACAATCAGCTTCAAAGCATTATGGACTGTATTGAGATTCAAATTGAAAAGCCTGTTGATGCCGTGAAGCAAGCACTTACGTGGTCGAATTACAAAAACTGTAACACAATAAAATATTTAATATCAATATCACCTGACGGGTTAATAAATTTTATTTCACCAGTGTATGGCGGCAGACTAACAGATTTATGATTTTTTGAAGATTGTGGTATTTTGCAAACTTTACTTGAAGGATCAGCAGTATTAGCAGACAGGTTTTAAAAATATTGCGCATTTGCTACAACATTATGGACATACTCTTATCAGACCTCCTAGCGTGAGCACTAAAGTAAAACCGAGCAAAATAGAAGTTTAGAAGACAAAAAAAATTAAGCGTTACGGATACACGAAGAAAGAACTATCGGCTTTAGATTGAGTTCATCTTGCCACACGCTTGTGTAGATCTAAAGCAAGTCAACCTGTTAGATTCAGTGGTTATTTCTGCATATGGAATAGTTAAACTTCAAGTAGTATGTTTCATTTAAAATATCTTCCTAGAGTTTAAAGCAAAATGCATTTAAGTGTATTTTATTGCATTAAAAATATAATATTTTGAGGGTACGTACATTCCCATTTTCCACCAATGTTTGTGTTATTTATAGTTTTAATAAAAAGTATTTTACATTATGATAATGTTATTTTATTAATTTCCTGAAAATATTTTCCTTCCAAAAATTTTCATATTTTTCAAAAAGATCATCACAATATTTTATATTATAAACTACTTCATGTACATCAATATTCCTTGAGCTTTCAAAGTCAACGTGTGCAATACAAAATAGGGCTTTTCTTTTTCCGGTCATTTGTATTTGTGTTTGTATCTGAGCTTAATATTTTTATACTATAATACATAATAAAAGTGTTTTCCTTAGTTTTCGTCAGGCAAGGCACCAATCATAGGCCACACAAAAAAGACAAAAGACCAGAATCCACTATCTTATATTGTGTACCTTCGCGACTTACTTTACGACAATCTGTTCTAATATTTTTCCTCTATTGATAGCATCCATTTCATTAAAAGATACATCACCAAATATTTCTGCAACTATTGAGCCATCTTTTGTTGTACATTGAGCAGGTTCGTGCATTTTTGAAGCTGTT